GCTCTGCACGTGCCCTAGCTAGTGCTCTAATTCGCTAATCTGCTGAATTAAATGCCTCTGTGACTTGACGTCTCCTGGTTCAGATACACTCTCACTTTGCTTTGACGTTGTCTTTGACTCGGTCCGGTCTTCATTGTGTGTTCACATCTGGTGTGTGTGGGTGTATGTGCGCTTGTATTGGCAAATCAGTACGCCCATCCGTCTGACACGTGGAGTAGTCGCCACAATATATAGAGCCAGTACTTGTCAGGATTGTGATCTACTCTGCTATATCAGGTGCGTTGTTCTTTCCTGTGTCAGTTTCCATCTGCCCTGTCTCAAATAGTCGTTCGCCTTTTTGGGACCTCGGTATTTTTCCCACTTTTGACTGACGTTCTACCCAGCGCTAAGCACAGTGCTTTTGTTTTCTGACCTTGATACTCTTGTTCTGCGGTTGGGTACTTTCTACCGTATTTGTTTTTTGCTGGTCGGGTAGTTGTCACATGACGTTATTTTTTCTCTGGTAAGTCTGACCAGCGTGCACGACTATAATCCCCCGTCTAAAAATGCAGTCAAGCCATGACTCGCCGAATAGCGTTTATACGCGAAGCCCAGGTGGAGGTTCTGTTTTCTGTAGCTCTTCGATTCAAAGTTAAACATCTCTATCAGTCCTTGCACTTCTGCTTCTGGATCATGCCGAACAACAGCCAGTTAAGCCACGTCGTAATACCACTATGAATAGCTACTTTTTTGCAACTTATCGATTTGCCTAAAGATCTTACCTGTGCGAAGTCCGTGACTACCTATTTGTCGCATCCGAGACCCTGTTGATTTCACAGCAGGTGTTTGTTAAGTGTCCTTAAACTATCCCTAATCTGAGGACACGTCGGATTGCCGGCAGTTAGGCTAACAGGCCAGCACCCTCTTCTCGCGGTTCCTGCCTCCCTGGGTTTCTGCTTTATAAATGCTTAGGGGAAATAAGTTGTCTGGGACCATTCTTCGAACGTTAGCCTCACGTTCGGCACATTCCATACTGGTCGAGCTCAACTAAAAAGCGTGCGGTTTCATCTGCCGTTCCCCTCTTTTCTTCTCCAAATTGATGGATGCAAGACTATAATTTAATGTAACCTTTCTCAAAAGAAAAGCCTGCCATGTTGTCACTGACCAGAGTCTACCAATTTAAGTCCTTTCCTGAACAGCCACATGCAGGATTTGGATGTCGTGTAGTAGTAGTAGTAG